ATAAAAATTGTGACCTCTATAGGGTCCACAACCTTGATATACCATATTTTTACGCTATTTGAGAACAAGGGGCGGCCATTTTGTCTGTCAGTTTTGGGCCAATTTTCACCAAATTCGAACTCAGTCGTCCTTAGGGTGTAACGGTGATATAATAATACGTTTTTTTAAATCAGATAAAAATTATGACCTCTATAGGGTCCACAAGCTAAAAACGTGATTTTTCGTACAATCAGGGGCTATAATTCAGGAAGTTACGGTCCGATATGCGCAAATATCGAAAGGAACCAAGATCTTTGGGTTATAAACTTACATTTCAAGTTTCAACAAAATCAGATAACCAGCGGCTGCCAGGCAGGATAGGCCCACATTTTCGAGAGATGGATAGAAAACAAGCTAAAACAAAAGTGATTTTTCCTACAATCAAGGGCCATAATTCACCAAATTACAATTCAATATGCGCAAATATCGAAAGGAACCAAGATCTTTGAGTTATAAACTTACATTTCAAGTTTCAACAAAATCGGATAAAAATTAGGACCTCTATAGGGTCCACAACCTTGATATACCATATTTTTACGCAATTTGAGAACGAGGGGCGGCCATTTTGTCTGTCAGTTTTGGGCCGATTTTCACGAAATTTAAACTCAGTCTTCCTTAGGGTGTAATGGTGATATAATAATACGTTTTTTTAAATCGGATAAAAATTATGACCTCTATAGGGTCCACAAGCTAAAAACGCGATTTTTCGTACAATCAGGGGCCATAATTCAGTAAGTTACGGTCCGATATGCGCGAATATCGAAAGGAACAAAGATCTTTGGGTTATAAACTTACATTTCGAGTTTCAACAAAATCGGATAAAAATTGTAACCTCTGATATACCATATTTTTACGCTATTTGAGAACGAAGGGCGGCCATTTTATCTGTCAGTTTTTGGCCGATTTTCACGAAATTCGAACTCAGCCGTCCTTAGGGTGTAACGGTGATATATTAACACGTTTTTTTAAATCAGATAAAAATTATAACCTCTTTAGGGTCCACAAGCCAAAAAACGCGTTTTTGCGTATAATCAGGGGCCATAATTCATGAAGTTACGGTTCGATATGCGCGAATATCGATATAAATAAAGATCTTTGTGTTATAAACTTACATTTCAAGTTTCAACAAAATTGGATAACCAGCGGCTGCCAGGCAGAATACGCCCACATTTTTGAGAGATGGATAGAGAACAAGCTAAAAAGAAAGTGATTTTTCCTAAATCAGATAAAAATTATGACCTCTATAGGGTCCACAAGCCATAAAACGCGTTTTTACATACAATCAGGGGCCATAGTTCAGGAAGTTACGGTCCGATATGCGCGAATATCGAAAGGAACCAAGATCTTTGGGTTATAAACTTACATTTCAAGTTTCAACAAAATCGGATAAAAATTGTGACCTCTACAGTGTTCACAAGCCAAAAATGTGATTTTTCATACAATCAGGGGCCATAATCCATGAAGTTACGGTCCGATAGATGCCAATATCGAAAGGGACCGAGATCTTAGGGTGATAAACCTATATTTCAAGTTTCATTGAAATCGGATAAAAATTGTGACCTGTAGACTGTTCACAAACAATTGTGGACGGACAGGGGCGATGACAATATACGTCCACATGAAAATGTGGGCGTATAAAAAATAATATTTGCTTTCAAAAAGTGGTACCAAACTGTCAAAATTATAGTTTTTGTTAAAATTATGTCACTTCCGATGTTGACAGATAACTCTATCGTTAACAAAAAAATGGCATTTTGGAAAAAGGAGCATATGAACTTTGTTTTAAACAAATCGAACAATAAATAATGAATCTAGGACCGAAAAACTGAATTAGCCAATGGCAGCTCACGCAAATCACCGAGACAAAAATTGTTCAAATTTTTGCTTAAATCAGATGACCCTTTAGCCCTGGATAAAATACCATAAAGAAATATTCATAAATAAAATAAAAATTTGTAATAATTTAAATTTTCAAAATTTGGCGCCTAATATCTCCGAAGATTCATCGAAAATCAAAAATCTAAAGACCCCTAGCTTTGTGCCTTGTCTCTGGCTATGTCAAAATGTATCAAATGTTAAAACCCGGCAATTATTGTTAATATTATGGCAATTTTTAGAAAAAAAAACAACTTCGGTGATTTGGGACATTTCGCATTGTCGCAGAATGTTCGAAATAGATTTAATCTCTAAGTAGTTTCTGAGATATACTCAAGTGGAAAATAAAACGGCCAACGTGTTGGATGATTGTTTTTTTTGGTAAAAACAATCATCACTAGAACTGCGAAGCAGTAATAACGGGTTTCACCGGTGCCACGTTACCCTAAACATATGTCACTTCCGGTACCAATGAAACCATTAAACAGGTTTCCACATAAGCATTGCACACATCAAATAAAATGGACGCCAAATCCAAATCCAGCAATATCAATTCATTTTATACATTTGTTTACATGTAAGTGTACAGTACCTTCCGGTGATAATGAAAATGTTCAATTAGTTATACGAAATCAGAAATGGCATAAGGCATCACATGGTGAAAATTTTATGTAAATCAAATAATAATTGCCACTTTTATAGACCAAAAACCTTGAAAAGTGACTTGTAGAAAACCGTCTATTTCTCTGCAACCGTACGAGTTAGAAACCATTTTCTGGTATCTGTATGATCGTATGGGTTCAATCTATTTGCTGATTGGAATCAAATATCATAATTGTAAAAACATTACAAATCAGACTCATTTGAATAAAATATCTGTTTTGAAGGCTAAAAATACAGTTTTTGCCAAAATGACGTTACTTCCGGTGATAATGAAAATCTTAAATTACTAGATAATCCATCAGGTGTGGATGTCGCATTCTATGTTGTAGAACTGCATTTTAAAGCCACCCTGGAGGCACTCAAACTGGTCTATTGATATTATCATTGCAGTTCAGTGGCGCTGCCATCCACATCTAATGGATTGTTAATTTAACAATAATAACATATATAACTACTCTAATGTATGAATTTATATCATATGCTTTTAATAAACTTGTACATCTATAAAGCTTTCACTTTTATTGGAACACACTTCTTGGTGAACTTAGTGAAGATTACACAAGTTAACAAAAATTTACAAAAAAAAATGTCTCACCTAGATTCTTTACCCCCCCCACCCCCCATCAAAACTTCAAAAACACAACAAAACATTTAACACTAAACTGCCTTAGTTTTAACAAGATGCAACAATGGAATCACCAAAGCAATATTTCAAAGAGAAGTCTGTGTCTACCGCCACTGCATCCGCCATGATGGAAGTTGTAGGCAAGTTGAAATAAGTCGCGCTGTACCGGATATAATAGTAAATAAAATAAAAATTGTCCAGTCTGTTAAACTGTTATGAGAAGTCAGCTCTTGTCAGGACAAACAAGTCTATGTACACATGTAACCAAGTACAACGTGGCAGCGAAAGTTCGCGTGCTGACATATGGAGTAATGTAATAATGTTTTAAATTTATGACCGTGATTTGTTTTCAAATCTTTCTGTATACAAATTACGATATTTTATTTTTTTAAACCAATATTTATGCGTGTAAATTAAAAATCTGCGTATGTCACCTAAAATAGACAGGCATGTGTTCGATAGTGAAGAATGTACTGTGTGGATAGGTACGCGCGCGGAGCTGCCAAAATCAAAACACAACACAAACTACAGCGTAGAAAATCAACACAACCATCGATTTGACGACCCGAAACACAGAATTAATTTAACACGGCCTTAGACCAATAAGGATACTATTACAGTAATCCAATCTCGAAAACACTAATGATCGGACAAGTGTGTGACTGGCATCTTTTGTTAGCAGTTGTCTGATATTACTGATGAATTTTAGATGAAAGTAACAGATTTTGCACATATTGTTGACATGAGTTTTCATTGTTAGACTTGAGTCTAAAAAGACGCCATGATTTTTAACCCTATCTTGAGTTTTTATTTCAAAGTCAGCAATAATTAATGTTGATGAATCAAGTTTCTGTAGATTATGTCTTTTGCCCACGATCATTACTAGTCTGAGTCCATTTAGTCTAGAGATAACTAGGGCTTGTATAAGTGTTTGTGTTGCATCTATTGTTATAAACTTCCTAATTTTGGCAATGTTTCTGAAATGAATGTAGCCTAATTTACTAACATTATTAATCTGGGACTCCATATTCATGTTAGAATCAAAGATTACACCAATGTTTCGCGCTGCAGTAGAATTAGTGATGGATGACTCACCAATACGAATAGAAAGATCACCATCTAGCTTTGAGAGGTTGTCTTTTGAACCAATTACCAAGTACTCTGTTTTCTCATCATTAAGTTTAAGGAAATTCTGTTTTATATCATCTATACATTTTTCAATATTGAACTATGATAGTTTAAAACTGTTGGGATCTGATGGCTTGAATGAAATATACAGATGGGTGTCGTCACCGTATCAGTGAAATTCAAGTCCGAATTTGCGAACCAGAACACCAAGTGGGGATGTATACAGACTGAACAGTAAAGGCCCCAGTACCGACCCTTGCGGAACTCCAAATTGAAGCAATGATTCAGCAGAGGAGCTATTTCCAACCAGAACCCTTTGTGTTCTCTTGCTGATGAATGATTGGATGAGTTGCAGGGCATCATCTTTAATTCCAAAGTCTGTTTCAAGCTGGTCTAACAGAATATGGTGATCCACTGTGTCAAAGGCGGTCGATAGGTCTAACAGTATCAGAAGACACAGTTGTGATTATCCATAGATGTGTGAATGTCATTATGAACTCTTAGTAATGCAGTTTCAGTGATATGGTTCTAGTAAATCGTGATCCCTTATATGGGATGATATTTGTTTAGAAATAACATTTTCCAGGACTTTGGATACAAAACTTAAGTTTGACACGGGCCTATAATTTTTCTCAATTTCGGGGTCTAAGCTTTATGAAGATATACTTACATCAACAGGTGTAATGGCCTGACCACAAGCGGCACATTTCGGTGCATATACCCTGAAAACATTTTAATAAAACAATTGTTACAAATAATGGTTAAATGATTCCAAATAATAATGGTTAAATGATTTTGTAACAAGTCTGATTTTAAAAATTTAAGCCTAACATAATATTTCATAACTTGTATAGGCCAGCAGCTGCCAGGCAGCATACGACAACATTTTGCAAGAGATGGATAGAGAACAAGCTAAACAACTAGAGCGTCCACAAGATATTTCAAAGTGATCAAGGGCCATAACTCTAGCAATAATTATCACTGGGCTTTTTCGTCTTACAACCTTAAACAGCGTGTATAAATTTAAAGTCAATCGGATATTGACTCTAGCCTCTAGTGCATCCACAAAATTTTTCAAAGTAATCAAGGGCTATAACTCTGGTAGTAATTATCGGAAATCACTGGGCTTTTTCGTCTCACAACCTTAAACACTGTGTATAAAGTCAATCGGATATGAACTTTAGCCTCTAGAGCGTCCACAACATTTTTCAAAGTGATCAAGGGCCATAACTCTGACAGTAATTATTGGAAATCGTTGAAAATCAACAGGCTTCTTTGTCTCATGACCTTAAATACTGTATGAATCTAAGTCAATTGGATATTAACTTTACCATATAGAGCGTCCACTAGATGTTTCAAAGTTATTAAGGGCCATAAATCTGGCAGTAATTATCGGATATCATTGAAAATCAATAGGCTTCTTCGACTCATGACCTTAAACAATGTTTATAAATTTAAAGTCAACCAGATATTCACTTTAGCCTTTAGAGCATCCACAAAGATTTTTCAAAGAGATCAAGGGCCATAACTATGGCAGTAATAATCGGAAATCGTTGAAAATCACTAGGCTTCTTCGTCTCATGACCTTAAACACTGTTTATAAATTTAAAGTCAATTGGATATTAAATTTAGCCTCTACAGCTACCACACACAATTGTGGACGCCGGCCGGCCAAAAGGGAGCGAGATCTTTGCGTTATAAACTTACATTTCAAGTGTCAACAAAATCGGATAAAAATTGTGACCTCTATAGCGTCCACAAGCTAAAGATAGGTTGCCAGACAACTAAACATATGCCCACAGGAGCTAACTCGTCCGAGCAGTCGACAAGGGTTGTCACATATTTATTCTTTTGTAGGTAATTAGGGGAATTTAATAGACAATTTCATACAGATGACATTATAATTTTCGTTGTTTGAGGGTTCACAAGGTTATAAAACTAAAACAAGGAAGTAATCTACAGAAATCGTTCAAATTCGACAGGCTTTTTCGTTCTACTAATTCAAATAATGCATATAAATTTCATACAGATCGGATGATAACTTTTGTCGTTAAAACGTTCACAAAGTTCAACAAAGTAAATCAAGATGTAATTAACGGAAATTTGCTGAAACTCAATAGGCTTGTTCGTTTTACTAATTTAAATGATACATATAAATTTCATACAGATCGGATAATAACTTTTGTTGTTAGAGCATTTACAAGGTACAACAAAGTGAAACAAGGGCCATAACTCCAGAAGAAATTAACGGAAATTGCTGAAATTCAATAGGCTTCTTCATTTCACTAATTTAAATGATGCATATCAATTTCAAACAGATCGGATGATAACTGTTGTCATTAGAGTGTTCACAAGATTCAACCAAGTGAAACAAGGGCCATAACTCTAGATGTAATTAACGGAAATTGCTAATTTAAATAATGCATATAAATTTCATACAGATCAGTTGATAACTTTCGTCGTTAGAGCGTTCACAAGATTCAACAAAGTGAAACAAGAGCCATAACTCTAGATGTAATTAACAGAAATTGCTGAAATTCGATAGGCTTCTTTGTTTTACTAATTTAAATGATGCATATAAATTTCATACAGATCGGTTGATAACTTTTGTCATTAGAGCATTCACAAGATTCAACAAAGTGAAACAAGGGCCATAACTCTAGATGTAATTAACGGATATTGCTGAAATTCAATAGGCTTCTTTGTTTTACTAATTTAAATGATGCATATAAATTTCATAATTGACCTTTTTTAGTGTTCGACCATCTGTCCTTTCATTATTGTCGTTATATTCCATCAAACAAATTCCGACATCGGTGAAAGATAGGTTGGCAGGCAACGAAACATACGCCCACAGCGGCTAAATCGTCCGAGCGGTCGACAAGGGTTGTCGCATATTTATTCCTTTGTAGGTAATTGGGGGGCCTTTACAAAATAGTGCCATACAGATCAGATTATAATTTTTGCCATTTGAGGGTTAACAAGGAACTACAAATTGAAACAAGGGTCTCAATTCTGGAAGTAATCTACAGAAATTGTTGAAATTTGACAGGCTTTTTCGTTTCACAAATTTGAATGATGCATATAAATTTCATACATATCAGATGTAATAAACGGAAATTGCTGAAATTGAATAGGATTCTTCTCTTTACTAATTTAAATGATACAGATCGGCAGAAAACTTTTGGTGTTAGAGCATTCACAAAGTTCAATAAAGTGAAACAAGGGCCATAACTCTAGAAAAAATACACAGAAATTGCTGAAATTCAATAGGCTTCTTCGTTTCACTAATTTAAATAATGCATATAAATTTCAGAAAGATAGGATGATAACTTTTGGGGTTAGAGCGTTCACAAGGTTAAACAAAGTGAAACAAGGGCCATAACTCTAGAAGTAATAAACGGAAATTGCTGAAATTCAATTGGCTTCTTCGTTTCCCTAATTTAAATATTGCACATAAATTTCACAAAGATCGGATGTTAACTTTTGGCATTAGAGCGGTCACAAGGTTCAACAAAGTGAAACAAGGGCCATAACTCTAGACGTTATAAACGGAAATTATTGAAATCAAATAGGCTTTTTTGTTTCACTAATTTAAATAATGCATATAAATTTCACAAAGATCGGATGTTAACTTTTGGCATTTGAGAGTTCACAAGGTTCAACAAAGTGAAACAAGGGCCATAACTCTAGACGTTATAAACGGAAATTATTGAAATTAAATAAGCTTCTTCATTTCCCTAATTCAAATATTGCATATAAATTTCACAAAGATTGGATGATAACTTTTGGCATTAGACCATTCACAAGGTTCAACAAAGTGAAACAGGGGCCATAACTCTAGACGTTATAAATGGGAATTATTGAAATTAAATAGGCTTCTTCATCTTACTAATGTAAACGACATAAATATCAATTTTAAACCAAATGGATAACTTTTGGCGTAAGAGCGTTCACAAGAAATTGTTGACGATGGACGGACGGGGGCGACGGCAATATACATCCACACTTCTATGTGGGCGTATAAAAAAGTACGTTATTGGCGAATGGCTTTCACACGACACAGTTTTAATAGTAAAAAAACATGTACCATTTTGATTTTTCTGGTTGACATTTAACATAAATATTGAAAAAATTGTTTCCTTTTGATGTTAATTACGATATTTTATTGCTTAAACATACATTATGCAAGAGCTAAATCTGATTATTGCAAGTCTTTATTTAGGCTTCAGATGTCATAGAAATTATAAATTAGATCTTTATTTACACAACAAGCACAAAATCCCATCAGCAGACCCACGGATGGCTTGGAATCAGCTTGGATTTAAACGCGATTTCGTTGACTAATTTAATTTTAAATGGAGTCGTGAGCGGAATTAACAGTTACGTTGACGTCATACTCCCGGATCAAGGCTAAATTTAAAATGATAGAGTGTCCGAAGCGAGGCCGCTGTTGAGCGATGCCTTAACAAATGACATCTAAACTATTTAAAGTGCAATAAACTAAACACAGATAATGACAAATTATACAATTCCTGGAGACCGTGTGATGACTAATTAACAGACGGACAGGTCTTCTGTCTTAATAATATCAATAAAAATATTTTTATTTCCCCAATAGGCACAACGCCACTGGTGTATACTTATAGATTTATTATAATTGTATTATAATATTATGCCCTATATTCAATGGATTTAATGCATGCCCAAAATACAAGTAAGAATAAAAATTTACCCTCTCACTCATTTTGTCCAATTGTTATAAAAATCCAAAAAGGTAAAACACAAATTCGGATATGATGACAGCAGACAAAAGACAGCAGAGATTATGTAGGTGGAGTTAACGCCTGTCAATCAAACGATCGGCCATACTAAGAATTGGTGAAGATGGAATTCAATCCCATTTCTAGTCAAAAATTACACTGGTGATAACTATGTTCAGAATAAAGTAATTTGACTGAAATTTTCAATATATTCTTCTTTCATCATCTATTTTTGAACTGTTTTAGCAAGAATGGCTAACTCCTTATAAAAATCTCCCATAATGTATCTTTAATGATGAATAAATATTGTTATAAACTCCCGAGTATTCATTCCACAAAGTTTGCAAATGTCGATAAGGAGCTTTGTTTACGTCACATGACTTCTCGCTCGCTTTTCCACCTGTTAGCATTATCCCTATTTCTGTTCAATTTCTATACATCTTGTCAAATTGTTTATACCGATACTAAGCTAGATTAGCTCATTTACTAACCACATGAAACTTATTGCAGAATGTTCAGCATATCCACATTTATCGAGAATCACCAATGCCAGACATTTTCAGTGGTGGGGTACCCCCGCCAGACGTCCCTAATTGACCGACACCAAAAGTTAAGCTAGACTAGCTTGTTTACTAACCGCATAAAACGTTTTGCAAAATGTTCAGCATATCCACATGTATCACAAATCACCGATGCCAGACATTTTCAGTGGTGGGGTACCCCCGCCAGACGCCCCTAATTGCCCCACCCCTAAAGCTAAGCTAGACTAGCTTATTTACTAACTGCATGTAATTTGTTGCAAAATGCTCAGCATATCCACATGTATCGCGAATCACCGATGCCAAACATTTTCAGTGGTAGGGTACCCCGCCAGACGCCCCTAATTGCCCCACCCCCAAAGCTAAGCTAGACTAGCTCATTTACCAACTGCATGTAATTTGTTGCAAAATGCTCAGCAT